AGCTCTTCCTGTCATCAGTTAGTTAATAGAGTAGAACCTACTCTCTTTGCTCTAATGATATTTGAAAATTCAAGAACCTCTGGGGTCTCAGTCTATTTTTTTATTTCATTTTCCTTAGCTGCTGTTCCTCAAGCTCTTCCTTTCAAGATACCAACAGATGATGGTAAGATATGCATTAATAAATTCATCTTTCAATTTTCCTTTATTCATTTTCATTTTTCTATTCATTCAGTTTCATTTTTCATTTATTTTTTCATTCATTTTTCATTTATAATTTCATCTATTCTTTACCAGATACTGATGGTCTTATAAGCCAAGCTTTATTAACTGGAAACTTTGAAGCTGCAGTAGATGTGTGTGTGCACAAGGAAAGAATGGTGAGCAAAGCTAACTGGAAAATGTCCTAGTGGGTTGCCTGTGGTGAGAACTGAGCACAGGGAGCCCATGAAGAAAAATTTTGATTTACTTGGAAAAATTGATTTCCATCAACTTATGTTTAAAGTCTATCTAGACCTGTTTGCTTTCAGTTTAATGTTTTCCCACTTCAAACCATTCATAATTCTCTTGAAAATAAGATTTTTTTTCTCATGTGCAACTACTAAAAAAAGAAATAATACTCTAGGGTATGACACGTGGTCTGTAATGGGGAAAAATTATGCCCATTAGTCTATTGACCCAAGTCTTACTCAATATGATGAGCAGATGCTTTTGGATTTGGGTTTCCCGTGTTAAAAATAAGCTCAGGCATCCCATAAAATGCAATATTAATATATTTGTAAATTTGGAATTTTTTCTAGTTACTGACCAATATGTTTCTTATGATCTCGTATATCAGGCAGATGCCTTTCTTCTTGCCATTGCTGGTGGGCCAGATCTTCTTGCAAGGATCCAGAAGAGATACTTTGAGAAAAGCAAGAGCAATGTGGCTAGGGTAAGTAAGAAGCAAGAGCTGCAGAAGTTATCCCTCTCCCCTACCGCACCCGACCTTTTCCTTTGTTTTGATGTAGCCTCTGCTTCTCCAAAGTCCCTGTGTGAATTAGTCTTACCTAACATTCATTTTTTTTTTTACCTACATATTATGCGTAGCTGATGTCAGTTGTCATAAACCGTGACTGGAGAGACGTAGTGGAAAACTGTGTCTTAGAAAACTGGAAAGAGGCTCTAGCGGCACTAGTGACATATGCCAAACCAGAGGAGTTTACTTCACTGTGTGATTTACTTGGTCAACGACTAGAAGGAGAGGGAGACAGGCACTTTTCTAATGCAATGATCTGTTATATCTGTGCCGGAAACGTGGAGAAATTTGTGGCATGCTGGTGGGTATATGATCTCAAAAATATCATTGCCATATGTGAAAGTGTTAGCTTTTCTTCTGCTTTATTTGTTAATTTTGTGCCCTGACAATGGAATTTTAAACTGTTTGAGCTACAGGAAACCAAACAAGAGTAGTAAATAATTGCTTGAAAGCAGCCAAAACCTCAGCCAAAAGAATGTGGAGAGTTTAGTGATGGTGGTTATGTTCTTTTGTTTAGGTCAAGGAGTATGCCTGTCGAACCATCTCCACTGGCTTTGCAGGTACAGTAAGGTCCAGTTTTGAACCATCACAATCATCATTATCATATATTCACCATCATCATCACCATTGCCGCCACCACCACCATCACCACCACAATTGTTTCCAGTAATGCTGACATCATCATCACTGCCCAAAATACCATCATCATCATCATCATCATCGCTGTTAAGATTTTGTCATTCTCGTTTTCACCATAATTATCATACTCTCATCATCATCATCATCATCATCTTATCCAGTAATATAATTTCTCCAAAGGATTTAGTTGAGAAAGTCATGGTGTTGAAGAAGGCTGTAGAGAGAGAAAGACGACAGATCATTGATAGTGGATCCAATGCTCTTGCAGAAAAACTGAGGTATTCCTTGATGTTAGTTGTCATGAACAATGTTATGATGCAGTAGTTGTGATTGTCAATGTTGTCAAGGCTAAAGAAAAGTTCTGGGAGAAAAATGTTTTGAATGAGATAAGATTTGAAAAAATGTTATATAATTATGTAGTCTTAGAGGGATTTTCGAACCTTTCCCACACGGCTTACCGCCTCATCTCTCATGTACTACTTTTTCGTGGGATTCTACCAGCTCACTAGATACGCCGTGCTGACAAGGCCCAATACAGGCTGAAACAGCTGTTCAGGGTTTCTAGTTGAGCTGGCTCATTTTACGTGACTTGAAGTTGTGAAAGGCCCATTGGCCCTCTTCTTCAGTCGTTTCATACAAGGCTCGTAATTTACCTATTACGCATGTTCTTATAAGATTTCCGAGCCTATCCCACACGGCTTACCGCCTCATCTCTCATGTAGTCTTAGAGAGGCGGTGGATACCAAGTAACCAAACCCCTCCCCACCCTTTTCCTACCCTCCCCTACCCTCTAAGTCAGGTCCTGTAACATGATCATTGCTTTGACCTAACCCATAATATTGTTGTTCCTGTTTTCTAGTAAATACTCGACTATCTTGGCTGCTCAGGGTTGCCTAGAGACAGCCATGGGATACCTAAATGCATCAGGAGACCAGGTAAAAATTGACATCAAGCCAAGGTGTCAATCATGGGGAGGACGTAATGTACCACTTTCTCCCATGACACACATATTTCATGGTTAGCACTCGTTGACATCAGCTGAGAGGACCTAGCACAATAGATTCAGCCTTTTGTTTGACACTCAAAGGTCCTTTTGTTCAATGTGAAAGATTAACCTTGAAACACAAACATGAGTGCCCCACCAAATCCACAGGAATACCCATTAATTAATGTCAAATAAAGAAATCTTGTGCTGAGATATGAGGTGCAAAGCAGTAACTTGTAATCAAATGAAAACAGAAACCATCAAAAGAATAAAAATTAGACTTTAAAATAAAGGAATTTTATAGGTGGTTGTAAAGCTTATGAACATTGCCATTATGATGTTAATTTGCCAACCACTTTAACACTAGGATGTGTTACTTTAGATTTCTGTTCAGCAGTTTAAATAGCAATTAACTTAAACAAATTTCGTCATCATACTCCTACCTATTCCAATTCAGTTTTAGGACACACAGTCATTTTAAAATTCTGAACTGGATTATAATTTTATTGTCTGTTTTTCTCTACAGTCCAGTCTTGCAGTGTTGAAAGATCGCGTGTTCCACTCCCAAAACCCCAGCCACCTCACCACGTCATCTGCGCCACCAGCTTTCCCCTTCCAAAGAATGAATGTACTGGCAGAACCTGCCCCTCAGCAACAAACTATGCAGCAGCAACAGCAGCAACCAAAGTATGGAATGCAACAGACAAGGCCTCAACAGGTATGAAAATAGAATAGAAAACTTTGTTTTTCATTGCTTTTTCACTGTTAGATAGACAGACAGACAGACAGACAGACAGACAGATAGATAGATAGATAGATAGATAAACTTTATTAAAAAGTGTCAAGTTATTTAGCTACAAAAACAAACTAATTGGGGACAATTGTTGTGACTTCATAGCACTGTTTTCATTGCTATGTAACATGTGATAGAGACACACATTATGACAGGTTAATGGGCAATAGACATTAGGCTATAGAAGCAGGTGGAGTACAACTGGTTAACTCATTGCCTTCCGAGCTAGAGGTCCACAGTTTGGTTGTCATGATCTCCACATCTGTTTCAACTTTTCTCTGTTCTGCGTAGCTTTGGTAGAACTTCTAGTTTTAATGATTATTAAGATATTATTATTTTATTTCTTAGCCACCAGGCCCTACATTCCAACCAGCTGCAGTATCACAACCTTCTCCTTACCAACCAACACAACCACAGCATCAAGCACCAACACCATTCTACAACCCTGCGGCATATCAACCAGCTCCTACCCAACCACCATCTGTGCCAAATCAACCAAACACTGGATTAAATGCTGGAACACCCCCTACTAGTCAATCACCATACTACACCCCTAATATTCACCCACCCCTACAAGGGGCGCAACAACCATGGAGTGCTCACCAACCTCAACAGTTCCAACCACCACCCAGTAATGTGCCAATGCAACCACCAGTTTCCCAGACAGCTAAGGTTGCCCCGCCCTCTCAGCCATTGCCGACACAGGGTACTACCAGCATGCCACAAATGTATAACCCAGCATCACAGGGTATGCCCGGCAGCTACCCCGGAGTACTGACTCCTGGTGCTCCTCAGGGGAATGTGCCATCACCTACTGGACCACCACCTGTTGGACCACCCCCATCGTCAGGTAATTGATTTAATTAGTGTTGTCTATTTAGTAAACAATTTATACTGACAGCGTTTTGTCTCATCGTGCCGCAGGTGCATGGAGTAATACTCACCTTATGCCCAAGAGAAAACAACAGGTACAAAGAAAGTTATTATTACGAACCTCATACACTACAGTCTTATAACCAGTATCTCAACTTCCTGGGGGCCAAGGAAAGGGCTTGAACTAAGTGGGTTTCAAAATATCCAGGGTATAATAAATAGTGATGTGAGTCCACGGGATGCAGCCTTAATACTCTAGCTTTAACTTCTCTGTTACTCAGGGTTACCTTTTTTTGTGTAGAATATTCATTTGTTCCAGTGAAGGTCTGTGGTATTATTTCAAAGTGCTTGTATTGTTGAAATTGTGCATTGTTTACTTCAGTTACTGTAAAGATTTGCAAATATTTTGATACTGAAATAAGGCTAGCCTTGAGTAAACGAGCCTGTAATCAAGGAACACAGAGGTTTTGCTGGAATTCTAAAAAGGTTTATTTTGAGATAACGAGAATTTTAAGATGTCATGGGTTCGATATAAAAAGACTTCATTGTACTTAAATAATGTACCATTAAAATGGATTTGATATTTGCTGTGGCATTATTAGGCATCTTTGGTAAAATGATTTTCTTTGCTGCAATAAACATCAACATCTTATTTCTGTTTATAGACCAGTGACTATACCCCCCCTGCTCCCATCACAATGCCGATCTTTGGTGTACCAGACCAACAGCAACAGCAACCAATGCAGCAGCAGCATCAACAGTATCAGCAACAGCAACCGTATCAGCAGCAGCAGCAGGGTAGGAATTTAATCCTTTAAGATAATGACGATGATGGTGTTGATGATGATAATGATGATGATGGCAATGATGATGGCAATGATGGTGGTGATGATGATGGTGTTGATGACGATGATGATGATGGCAATGATGATGGCAGTGATGGTGGTGACGATGATGGTGTTGATGATGATGATGATGATGGCACTGATGGTGACCATGATGGTAGTGACAATAAGATGATGGTGTTGATGATGATGACGACAATGAGGATGATGATAATGTTGATGATAATGAGAATGAACAAGTTCAGTATAAATACTGCTCTCCAACTTGGGCCACTGTCACTCACACACACCACCACTACCACCACTACATTCAGTACTCTATGTTTGTGATACAAATCTCAATTCTCATGTTGATTTTTACGGAGGAAGGATATCAAGGTGAATCAAATTGTTTTAGTTAGTAACTTTTAACATGAAAAAAATTTTTTTTTCTCATAAACTTCAATTCCAATAATAGGCCGAAGACTGAAACCATTCAACCCCTTTGTGACCTACATGAAATTTTGTTAGTATATTTTAGAATATTAAATTTAAAAAAATAAAGACATTCCTGTAGGTAGCCAAAAACAAAATGGATAAACTCCACTTAATAAAAAAATTCTACCAGTTTTGAGGACAATCACAGAGTAGGACAATCACGAACGGAACCCTCAGATCCATGTTAGGTGAAATCCCAAGATCAAATTGGAATTTAGAAGTTGATTTTTGCGGAGGGAGGAAAACYGGAGAACCTGGAGAAAAACCTTCGAAGCACAGGAGAGAAACAACAGACAGCTCTACTCACATACAAAACTGAGCGCGGCAGGGCTCGAACTCAGGCCGCATTGGTGAGAGACTATGCATAAGAAGCGCATGCTGGACCCGTGCTTCCAAAGTTTTTCAAAGCTTCCTTAAGTAGAAGAGCTAAGAATATAATAATTTATTAATTTGTATAATAATTTATTTAACTATGCAAGTATAGAGATACAAAAGGATGATGGTAATTTTTCTTAACTTCTTTATAAAGCAATAACAACAACCTACAAAAAAACTCTGAACTTTAAATTTGTCCTTCTTTTAGCTCCGCCAAGCAGTCATCTTCAACCTGCACCTGATGGCCCCAACATGATGCAGCAATCTGGCCCCCCTGGTGCCCCGCCCAGCTACCCCAGCCCTCGTCCTGCTGTTGCTCAGGTATATGATGAATATCATAGTGGAAATCCATCACCCTTACCACATGACGACATGTTACTACCACAACCCTATAACCCTATTACGACAAACACATGGATGATAGAACAACCCATACAGTTACAGAGACAAGATGCCGACTTGTACCACACTAAAGACACTTGTTATTAACTTAAATATTTTCAACATGACTGATAGACTACTTTTACAAGATACGGTGGTATCTGAAATTTTTGATTTTTAAAACTACACCATATCCATCATAAAAACTTTTAGATTCTCACAAAAGAGCCTTCAAAATTTTCATTATTGAAGATAAATTCCTTTTTAAAGTGGTTAAACGAATTCAGTAAGCATACACTACCTCTACATTAAATATTCTATGCAGCTTCCAACTCGATTGTTGATAATTTAGGGAGAAAATCCTAAAAAAATTTCTTGCAAACATTATTAACTTTATATGATTTATTTCATGACGTATGATTGGTTAATATCAAGCGCAAAATGCTGACATGGATTTGATGTCATTACATTAGGACATTAAAATAATTGCATAATGCATGTAAAGATTATAATGAGCAAGTAAAATTGCAAGATAAAGCATTGGTTTATTGCATGAATGCCATTGATTTTTTCTTGTTTTCATTTGTCTGTTTGTTTGTTTATTTTGTTTGTTTGTTTATGTTTTTGTTTTTTGTTCTTTCTTTCCAGTATTTTCATTTCATTTTGTAATTTCTTTTCACCTTCCATGTCTTTCATCAAAATTTGAATATCTTGTTTTTAAAAATAAGCTGTCAACCTCCATACAAGAGTCAACAAAAACTGTCTTTCTTTTTCATTGAAAAAAAAAAACCTTTAAAAAAATTTAAAATATATAAAATACATCTTTGAAAAAAATTGAATTCAGATAATGTTAAATAAATCTTATTAGATTTATTCTACTATATAATTTAAAAAAAAAACACCACTAAACATAGCCTACTAATGTGTAGTATAATTACCTTTAAGCAAACTTAATTTATGGCTGTATTAATAGATCTAATTCACCTCAAATTAAATGCAATATTGACCTTATTTGTTGTGGTGTAATGTTTTCCAACTACAGATCCTGTGCCATTCCCTAGAGTATTATTTCTTTGCTTAACGGTTGCACATGAGAAGACAAATGAATATGGATACAACTCAAACAAAGAATCATATTCTCTAGGGAATGGCATTGTGGTCTGTAATAAGAAAACATTGCACCACAACGAATAAGGTCAATTGTATTTAATTTTTACTTAAAATTTCACCTGGAACATTACCTGTACATATTACCTGGACATATTACCTGGACAAATTACCTGGACAAATTACCATCAAAAAAACATGACAGTATGTGAGATATTATCACTGGACATATCACTGCACAGTACCTGGCCACAGACGGTTCCCCTGGTAATGAATTGTTAAGATGAACAGCTGAAACATGACTCTGAATCAACCACAATGCATGGAATGATGGCAGACTGTAAAACATGACAGTTAACAGACATACTGGAACCCTGAGTTGTGTTGTTGCACATTGCAACCTTTTAAGGTCGGCACAATATTTGTATTTCCTTTTCATCATCAGTGGGAGTTAAAGTGGGTAATGTTTTAAGGTAGTCAAAATCACCGTAGAAACAGCCCAACTGATTTATTACATTTTCTTAATTTTAGGAAAAACCAGCAGAGATTATTAAAGGCCCTCTACCTGCTGAGCATGTTGTTATACAGGAGACATTCAATGGTTTAGTACAGAGATGTAAAGACATGGCAAATAACCCAGTAAGTACAGTCTCTATCGGTATTAATGTGGCATGATTTGATGAGGGAAAATAACGTTCTTTCACTGAGCTCCCTCGAGGACATTTTCTTTCCTACTAACTTTAAGGTTTCCATGTTTCAGCACACAAAAAGAAAGCTTGATGAAGTTTCAAAGAGATTGGAGGGTCTTTATGACAGACTTCGTGAGCAAAAGGTAAAAGCATGTAATAGCCAGTGGCTAATAAACCTGAGTTGATTTTGTGGAGGGAGGAAAACCAGAGCACTCAGAGAAGGATTCTTGAAACACAGGAGAGAATCAACAAACAACTCTTAAAGAGGCACTTGGATGAAAACGCCCCGATTTTTGAAGGTCCAAATAATTGAAGTATTCGAGGATAATATGACTCAATTATGATTATGAAAATCAGATTAGTGAAAATTTTAGCCTGGGAGCCACTCGCTGTTGAGATATTTTGGGTCAAAAAAGCGAAAAGAACAATAGGGTTGAGTAAATGACGTCATTTACTCACAATTTAGATGCTGAATGAAATCGATAAATTTTTCCCGCCACTTTTGACTGTAAAGGAAACATGTTGCTTGGCTACTATTGGGGTCATATAGACAAGTTTAACCAAGTTTCAAGTCATTTCCAATTTTCATTGATTTTCATCCAAGTGCCCCTTTAACTAACATAACACTCTGAGTCCAGGAAGCGACCCCAGGAAGCAAACTTGGGTTGCGTTGGTGAGAGATTAGTGCTCTCACTGCCAATTTTGATATTCATTATGTTACTATTTCAGTTGTCCAAGCCCATCCTGACAGGACTTCATGAAATTGCTCAGGCTTGTCAATCAGGCGACTATCCTCGTGGTCTGATGGCCCATACAGGTTTAATTTCCAGTGGTAGCTTCTCAGAGATCAGTTCATTCATGCCTGGTCTCAAGTCCTTGATGCAGATAGCCACACAATTAAGAGTGTAAATTAATGTGTGCTTTGTAGATGATGCTAGAATAATATTACTCGTTTGGAGAAGATGGATAGTATTAGTAGGTCATGGCACACATGATTATTCACCATTTTCCATACATCTGTTCTGACACTGGTCAAGCACAAAGCACTCAAGCAAGGTGCCAAGGTACTTTCAAAGGATTATTCAAATTTGAACCTTTCAACCTCGACTGAATGCTTTGTGTTTGACCAGTGAACCAATGTATGGAAAATTGTGAATGCTGCATGAGGAATGTGTTTACTTGATTGGATTTGTTTATTCATGGTAAGCCTCATCTGATCTCAAAGTATTTACAAATACCCATGGTCGGTAAAATAAAGAATACAGCTATTTCAAAAAGGTTGAACACTAAATACTGCATACTGAATAGTGCATTTCATGACCAAAGGGCATTGTGGGTCATAGTGACATTGTCTGAAGTAGGATTGATAATAATTATTTATTCTATTTTTAGTGTATTCCATCTGAAACAATATACTAACGACATGTAGAGAGTTAATTGCTGTATATTTACTTCTTATTTCAAATTAACGAGACCCACAATGCCCTTTGGTCTTGGAATGCACTATTCAGTATGCAGTATTCAGTATTCAACCTTTTTTGAAATAGCTGTATACAATTTCAACAATACAAAGACTTAGAAATTTCACCGTCCTTCACTGGAACACATGAATATTCTACATAAGCGAGGCTAACCCTGAGCAACAGCGTATTTGAAACTGCGTAGCCTCTCCATTTGTGTATCAAACACACTGACCCAATGGACCCTTCTTAAAAGTGTCTTGCATGTGAGGCTAACATGGAAATACAAAAGAAACGACACAAATTCCATCAAGAGAAAGTGTAATTTCTTTTGTATTTCTAAGTTTACTCGGCATCCAAGTACTTTTTTTGAGAATAGTCCTTCTAAAACTCATGAATATTTAATGAGGAGAAAACAAAGCAAATCACTACTGTGACGGTGGTTTGGAAATGTGTTCTTAATTTGCATTAAATTTCGTAAACTTTTTCTTTGATTTTCTCCAAGAAATATTCATGAGTTTGAGAAGTAATTTGAAACACTTGACAGAGTTCTTCCTCCGATTTCCAAACACCTCAAACCCCACCCCAACAGCCTCGTTTTTTCAACTCACTTTTCGGTGTTTGGAAATCGGAGGAAGAACTCTCTCGTGTGTTTGAAATATTACATCAAAAAAAATCCTTCATGCCTAAATTCTACCTTTCGGCTTACAGTCAAGTTTTCCACAAGGTCAAAGAAGGCTAAGGAACATATATTGCATACATCACCTTAGGACTTGAAAAATTATGAAATTTAATATCACATTAATTGTCATGAGACAAAGTGTTTTTATTTTGCTCTCTGAATTGTTAGAATCTTATGAATTGTTATGAGAAAAGTTTAAAAAGATATTATCAATAAATTAGAACTCACCCAGACAGATGTCTTAATTTATTCTCGGCTGAGTTACAGGTCGGTAAATCCAACCACACCTCATATTTACCCTAGTTTCCTGAGGTTCTATTACTGTTCCTGTGGTTTCAAAACAGCAAACACAGGAGTGAGAAATAAACAAGAGGCCCTACAGGCATTCACTGGGTTGCCTGTATCATGCACAGAGGCCTCGTTGCAATGTTAGTCAAAAATAATGGAATGGTTCACAGAAAAGAATGATTTTGCTCAACTACATGATATTAGAATATTTGCAGGTTCTGCTCTTTTTTAGGCCACAAAATAAACAGTTTTGTGTTATGCATGTCACACAGAATGTCACACTACTTGTGAATTGCATCTTGCGCCATGACGCAACAAGATCAAATATCCCAATGTTCTCTGTCAGAATCACCAAAATAGTGCAATAGTACACAGAAGTCTTCACGGCACCAACCACTACTCCTTTGGCAGTAAATGATGTTTACAAAAATCACAACACTCAAAAGGGCACCAAAGTAAACATTCTCTTGGATATTACGTCAACAGTGTGCGAAGTAGCGAGTTATGCAAAGATCACATCTCTCAATGGGATACTAAGGAGGGCTAGGGTGTCATTGCTCCCCAGTGGAGCAAAGGCCAGTTCAAGGGAACAGGGAGGGAGAAGAAAGGAGAATGGCATGAAGAACTCTGAGTGTTGGGCTCCTCTGTACTGTGGGGGGGGGGGGGGGGGGGGGGGGAGATAATGGTCATACTGAAGAAAAGCCCAAGTGTTAAGAACTTTAAAAGTTTAGAAACAATAAGTCAGGGAAAAACTCCAAATTGCGCCTGAATAATTGCCTGAAATTTCAATGAAATATATCTAATAAATGATACTTATTGATTTGTCTCACGACTGTGGTGTTAGTACTTCCGGTCCCTTCATTAACTTCGTGTCTTGCATTACGTATGCTTTAACTATAACACAGGGAACCCACTATATCACTTATCCGACATATTAAATCCAAAAGATTAACAATAAGTCAAAAGTCTTTTTCGTTTTCTGTTCAATACCTACTACATTATTTTTTTAATGTGTAATATTATTGCTTCTTTGTTTAAAAAAACGTAAGATTTCGACGCCAGTTTCGTGTTTCAAAATATATCTAGATTGGGTTGCCTGTGTAATTATAAATTAAAACTTGGTTTTACTTTTGGCTTTGAAGAGTCAGAGAACAGTTGTGATTCTGCAGGCATTTAACCCGTCATGCCTATTTATTACAGCCTAATAGCTCGAGGAACAACAATCCTCGTAGACTATACCGAAACTACGGGCAACTTTCAGCAAGTTACGGCTACAATTTTGGATAAAATTCCTTCCAACAACACGAAGTGTACTTATGTCTCCGGAAGGTCGGTTAGACTTTAATATAATTTTCTCGCTTCCTTTATGGTGATTTTATTGCATTTATATTCATTGTAGAGCTCTAAACTATCTTTAGCATTGCTTTAATACTTATTCTATAGTCTCTGGAATTTAAATTTGATTACTTTTGAAACATTTAGTAGATAAATTTATCAACTTTTGTACTCGTTTTTTGGTGTGAATATTTATAATTTGTTATTTTAGAAGCCTAAGCTTACATTGCTCTAATTATTCGTATCCTTGGTTTGAATCCTTGCTTAAACGTCCTAGTTTAAGATAAATAGTATATAATGACCATTTTGTAGTTAATTTGCTCAGACATTCAAAAGAAATAATTTGAATTTTATTTATATAAAGCGCCAATATGCTCAAGTATCATTTTTATAATATCATGATGATACAATTATTTCTAATATTCAAACAATTCTTAAAAGCTATCAATCATAAAAGAAGATGTAATTAATTCTGACTACGTGTCGGAAATGTTAAGTTATTTCCCTCTTTGTATCATTTAATTACATCGCTTTTACTATCGGATAATTTTAGCTTTTTCTCATTTTATGCACTGGTGCTTTTGATATAAAACCACAGAATACCACACATTCATCATTTATACAAGCTTCTTCTTGTTTATAAGTCTCTGTGCATCATGTCCATCTGCAAGTATAAATGTGCTAAGTGCAGTTATAAAGGGATTTCCAGAGGTACACTGTCTTGAGATGTATTGTTCTACTATGTCAGGGCCGTAACCAGAACTTTTACAGGGAGGGTGCACATCGAATAAAATCGGACCATTGATTGTTTCTTTTAAGAAAGCAGAACCAAAAAAAAAAAAAAAGGTAACCGAAAGAAAGCAGAACCAAAAAAAAAAAATTAATTAATTAATAAAAATAAAAAAAGGTAACCAAAAGAAAGCAGAACCAAAAAAAAATGGATGAGCGGACCTTAGGCTTTTATGGGGCACTTGCACCCTGTGCTCCCCCCCCTAGTTACGGCCCTGCATGTGCTTCTCCTAACACTGAACTCTCATATTCTTGAGTTCTGATTTTCGACTGCACACAGCAACAGTTGAGGTGCAAATACATTAAAAGTTGAATAACTGGTATTACTGGATAAGAAATAAAGAAGTATTTTTCACCTATCATACTTTGTTTATAGTTACCAGTTTCACGTGATAGTGGATGATGGGTTGATATTTCTCTGCATGGCTGATAAGGARWTTGGGAAGAGTCAGCCTTATGCATTTTTGGAAGAGGTAAGAATAAAGTTGTCCTATCCCATCCATCAATCCATCCATTCATTCATCCATGCATGCATGCATGCATCCATCCATCCATCCATCCATCCACCCACCCACCCACCCATCCAAGTTATTGGGTATTCAATCCTCTTGTTTTATTTCTTAAGATAAAAAGAAGATTTTGCAACTCAAGTTTGAAGCAAAGAGCAAGGAATGCTCATGCATTTGAATTCAAGAGGGATTTTGCCCAAGTTCTTGCTTCACAAATGGTATGTATAATGCCATGTAACTACATATACTAGAACAGTATAAGTCTGTTCATGCAGTGAATTATCTTGGCTAGGATAAAGCTTGCAATTTTTGGGTGCAACCACATGACTCAAAATCCCTTGAGATATGAATAACAATGAAACAGAAGAAGCTAATGAGGAATGCTTTGTTATCGTCAACCAACATTGGCAGCTATTACGTAACACGCACCCCAAGAATGAAAACTTTCACTTGTGCTGCATTATGATCCTTTTTCTCTTATTTTATATTCTGTGAAATTTCATAGACATTGTTCTCAGAGCCAGGCAATTATGGTAACGACAATCTTAGTAAAGTAAAAAGAGAAGTGGAAGATGTCAAGGATGTCATGACAAAAAACATAGGTAAGACTTTTTTAAACTGAATGACAAGCATGTTATAGTTCGTTCGTTTTCCTATCATGTAGTAATGAAATGAAGAGCTAGAGTTGATGGAGCTTCGTTGTGAAAGTCAGGGGGTCAAATAACATGCATTACAGACAACCCATTGTAAAAATCTAGCCTCATCTTGGAATGCTTTAAAGAACATCTTAAGTTTTTAATTATTCTCAAAAAAAATTCTCAAAAAAGTGGAGGCCCCATCTCTGCCATTCCTGAGAGCACTTGTTATTCAAAATTTAATCTCAGGTCTTTGATCTAATTGGGTCAAGTTAGTAGCTAGGGGGCACTGAGTCTTCATGAGGGGGAGAGACTCAGCAAACCAGATTCTTCCCAGCATTTCCTGGTCAATAATTTTATACTTTAAATTATAGTTTTAACAAATTTCTTCTCCAGAAAAAGTGCTAGAGAGGGGAGAGAAGATTGAAATTTTGATGGACAAAGCAGAAAACCTTGATAGCAGTGTAAGTTCCATGAACTTTTTTTATTTCATTTGGAATTCTTTTAGCAAATATTACTGTCAACAACCAAATGCCAGAGAAATATCTGTTTTATCAAATGCTGAAACAACCTCTAGGCTGATCTAAGTCAGGGCATGGCTAACTCACAGATCAAACCTTGAAACAACCTCTAGGCTGATCTAAGTCAGGGCATGGCTAACTCACAGATCAAACCTTGAAACAACCTCTAGGCTGATCAAGTCAGGAAATGGCTAACTCACAGATCAAACCCTGAAACAACCTCTAGGCTGATCAAAGTCAGGAAATGGCTAACTCACAGATCAAACCCTGAAACAACCTCTAGGCTGATCAAAGTCAGGGCATGGCTAACTCACAGATCAAACCCTGAAACAACCTCTGGGCTGATTCAATCTAATAATTAATATCAAGTATTAACTGGAAAAGCTTTTATTTACAAAACTCTGCACAATAATGGCCTTTGACTGACTGTGCAAGCTGAGATGTCCACAGACAAAACACCTGACTCGGCCTTGCGTTTAGACTATATAATTAAAACGAATGAAACGGAAGCAAGAAATGAAAACTCTGCTGTATACTTTTTTCCCCAATTACTGCGATCAAATATTATAACAACTACAAACCACGTAGTCTTGTAAAAGTGCACTAGTACCACAGGTTAAAATAAAAATTTACCATAAAACTGCACCAAAAATAAGGCAATACAGCATCACCGCAAACCCTGACATCCCCCTCCTATTATACTTTACTCACTTGATGCTGAGGTAGAAAAAATTATGGCTGACATAATTTGTTCATGGTATTCCTGTGGTTGATATATTCTCATTGTTTAGGCTCAAACTTTTCAAAGACATTCAACTCATCTACGCAAACAAATGTGGTGGAAGAATACTCGTCTTACTCTTATTCTCATATTCCTTGTATTGCTTCTGATAGCAGTCATAGTCTTGATTGTACTTGGAGCTCTTGGCAAGTTATAAGACAGTATTGATAATATTAATTAATCATCAATGGAATTGATAAATCAAACGAAATTTACTACTTTAATAGGACAACTTGAAACAGACTTTCAATGATATATTTTCAACTTTGAAAACAGTTTTAACAATATATCAGTGAAACGCTAATTACTAAATTGTTCAAAATAGTGCTAGTTAAACAAAAGAAAACAATAGAATTAGCATAAAATAGTGTAAGTTAGTATTACTAATATTTCACAGATAGAGTGCATGCACTAAAGCCGTGAACATTAAACAGTACCAATTAGTACTATTTCATGCAGAATCCTTTGTTTTCTATTGTTTAATTATCACTATTTAGTGCTAAAAATTAGTATTTGTTTCACGGATTTAGTGTGAGCACTCTATATTGTTTGCACTCTACTTTTGAAAAACCTGATAATTTTGTAATTATTGAATTTATGAACTAGGAGTAATTTAACCTAAGAAATGGAAATTTTTTCATAACTTTCCCCATTCCTAAAGTGTCAAAAAAAGCTTTGCTGCAAAAAAATAGGACCTCCCCTTTCCTTCCACCCAACCCCCACCCCACCCCTCCCATATACACACTCAAACTATATAAAGATACTTATCAATTAATCATATAGAGCTATAAAAAAGACAAAGATAAGCAATAATTGTCGATTAGTATATGTAATAGGACTCCATGCTGAAAATTCCGAGGACTGACAAAATTGGAAGAGGCCATAGGCCTAGTCCAATTTGGCAGTCAGAGGAATTTTTTGAGTCTAATTATTTCTTGATTGGGGAGCATTTAATCCCATTACCTATTAATTACATAGCTGCCTAATTAATCCCATATCAACGAGACCTGTTCAATTAAGAAAATAATTGGACAGTTACCTATGTGGGATTAATGAGAAGCTGTATAATTAGGATAATAATTAGGATAATTAGAAAGAGTAGGTAGAGTGCAAACAATTAATCCGTGAAACACTAATTACTAAATAGTACAAAATAATGCTAGTTAAACCAATAGAAAACAATGGAATTTGCATGAAATTGTGCTATTTAGTATTAGAGTATGTGGACCGCGTGGCACTAATGAAATAGTAGAAGATAATATAGGTAAGTTGTAGTGCTTGCTAGTGCATACTCTCATCTTTGCATCATAATTACCGCGACCTAACATCTATTTCACCCCGGCCTGCTCTCAGTCTGACCTCTAGCTCAGCTGGTAGAGCATCGGTAGTACAATTCCGAAGGTCCAATTTAATTCCAAGGGCTTTCGCCCGGAATAACCTCGTTCCCAAGCACTACAACTTACCTATATTATCTTCTACTATTTAGTATTACTAAAGTTTCACGGTTATATTGTTTGCACTCTATATTAGAGATAAATGACAATAAGTAATTAGAAGAAATGTATTGGTGAGCGGGATTGGTTAAACCACTGGTTAATCAGGAATGAGGGATGATATGTAAATATTGTGACCCCAAACTTTATGAATTAAATTGTTCATTTATGATAACTGTCTTGTTCTTCTGTTGTGTTGGATGAAGAAGTTATGGTAACACATGATGTCAAAAATGTCCCAAACAAGAAGAGAACGAAGAGAACAGTTCATGATAACCATAACCTGATCTCCCTGGAAACAATACAATAGTCAATACTCAAGAAAACCTAGTTCAATTGACTAGTGCTTATTGACAATAGTATCGTTGACCGTGACACTAGAGAAAAATGATTGCGCATGCGTGCATTTCAGCACGTTTTCTAAGAACTTTGAAGAGTTTGAGTGCGAAAATAAATGTCTGTTTTCTCCAAGTATACAAAACAGTTCGAGAGTATACTTTTATCAGACCAAGATACTGTATTAACGAACACAATATGAAAGAATTAGACTTAAGTTTCAAGCATGGACACTAAGTTTTGGCATTTTGTGAAGTCCACTTTATCAGGCATGTTTGAAAGTCAAATTTACTTATGTTTTGATTAATTTATTCCTTTAAAGTAGAAAATTGAAAACTAGGGCCTTGGTAGTGTAGTATGGATCTAACTAATAGGAAGAGACTTGGTGAACGAAGTGGACAGGTCATTCCTAAGAACAGTGGCGGATCCAGAGGAGGGGTGCAGGGGGTGCGCACCCCTCCCTGATTCGACTTTGTGCCCCTACCTCGAAGATACAAAATAAGGGTTTCTTCCCATTGATTCTAATGAGTGCACCCCTCCCTGGGTTAACCTTGTAAGCAGCACCCTCCCCTGAGCAAATTCCTGGATCGCCCCTGCTAAGAATTCTGTATAACTGCGTACTTGGGGGACAATACGAGGTATTTCTAGGAAAAGAAGGAAAGGGATGTACCGAAGTGGACTGGTCATTTCTACGAATTCTGCATAACTGCGTACTTGGGACAATACGAGGTATTTCTAGGAAAAGAAGGAAAGGGGTGTAACGAAGTAGACTGGTCAGTTCTAAGAATTCTGCATAACTGCGTACTTGGGGACAATACGAGGTATTTCTAGGAAAAGAAGGAAAGGGGTGTACCGAAGTGGACTGGTCATTTCTAAGAATTCTGCATAACTGCGTACTTGGGGACAATACGAGGTATTTCTAGTATATAAAAGGTGGTGCGCCGAGGTGAACTGATCATTTCAAAGAATTCTTCAGAGCTGCGTAGTTAGTAGTTCAGCTTCTGAAGTTTTGCTAGAAACGCCAGTCAGAATTGTGTTATCTGGATCTTTTGGGTAAGTGTTTGCTATAAATTTCCTAAATTCCTAAGTTTGCTGTGTAAATTTTACTCTATATGCCCTGGTCTACGGTATTTGTAGCCCTACTTCTATTGCTATTCCTGCTAATTCTTCTGTGTTTACAGGAATGGGTGCAGTACAGACAATTCCAGTGGTCGGCGAAATCGTTACTGTTATTGATAGCGGTGTGAAGGTAGTTGCAGCTGGTTCATGCGCTCTTGTAGGAGAGATAATGGATGAACAAGATGCCAAAAATGCTGCCAAGAAGTTTGTAAAGGATGCTGGGAATTCTTGGGTGGAATATTCCGAGAGAAATATAATCGTTGCTCCCGTACGTGCAACCATTCATGGTATTGCTGGCGATGAGAAAGAAGCAGTGAGAGTCGTGAAAAAGATGGGTAAATCAGCTGAACAGGTCATTGACAGCACTCCAGTTGTCGGGCACATAAAGGGTGTTGGTCATTACATAGCTGGAGATACGGAACATGGTCATGATTGCATGAAAGGCGCCAGTCGCACGCTAGCTGTGGTCGGGGCTGGAGCTTTAACTGGTGGAGTTGGAGGAGGAGTAGTTCTAGGTGGATTAGCTGGCGCTTCGAGTGGTTTTGCGTACGATGGCACAGTATCTGTTATTGAAAGTAATGTAAAAAACGAAGACCGCCCTTATGGAGTTATTGCGTCTATTGACCAGGCAATTCAATCTGATAAAAAGAAAGATGGTTATGGTGTTATCAACTCAGTCATAGACGTAGGGTACTCTCTTACCGGAGATTTTGTTGCCGGCTCTGCTGCAGCGAAGACCAGCAAGACACTGAACAAAGCTTCAAAGCAAAGAAAAGCGTTGAAGAAAAGCGTAGGAAAAGAGGGCGCCAAGGATGTTCTTGACACTGCCAAAAAGTTAAAAGAAGTAACTAAGGATGTCAAGGGAGATAGCCACGTTTGCACGAAAGCTAAAAACCTTGAAACGGGAGAAAAGGCTTACGGGACAAACAGACGGTGTAGACAAGAATTAAGAATGAATAAGTACGCCTCGGAAGGCGAAGCTAGTGGCTATAATAGTAAAACAAATGCTAAGAAAGGAAATGTCGGTGAATTCTCGAGAGAAGCAGGAGTCCTTGAAAGAGCAGCAAATGAGAGGAATATGGATATCGAACCAAGAGTTGGCAATCGAGCTCCACGTGCCTGTGCCGAACATCAAGCCTTTGATAAGCTTGGTACTAACGGAGCGGAGGCTGAGATTCGTACGACCAGCGTCACGTCTCATAATGGAAATATCACAGCTATAGAGAGATGCAACAATTGTGTGCAATTTGGTGAGCTGATGGGAGATGTGGTTACTGATCGTATTCATGGGATGCCCGTACCCACAAGTCAGTTCGTTCTTGACACTTCCATGCCTGCCATAAAAACCGCTGGTATGTATGCTGCAGGCGCAGTTATAGTTTGTTCTGTATGCGGTGAAAGTGATGACTGTAGTTGCGAAAAAAAGAAAGTACATACCGAATGTACCAAGGTTCATGCTTAATTCAAAGGTATCAGGGTTTTTTTTTCCAGGTTTAAAAAAAAAACGATGACTCGCTACTATTAGTTGTAGACTGATTCCGTTAGTTAGAATTCTGCTTATTTGTCAGTTGTCTAAAATGTCACTTATTTGTCAGTTTTCAGTTAAATTTTATGACAACTTCAACTTCAACTTCTTTTATTTACACTCAATTAATATTATTAATTAATTGTTACAATTTAGTAAATTATATAAATTAAATCTATTAATAAATTGTACTACAAATGAAAAATTGTGGTAGAGTGCTCACGCTAAATCCGTGAAACAAATACTAATTTTCAGAACTAAATAGTGATAATTAAACAATAGAAAACAAAGGATTCTGTATGAAATAGGACTAATTAGTACTATTTAATGTTCACGGTTTTAGTGCGTGCACTCTATGTATGTAGTGTAGGGTGATTGAAGCAGGTGATGCTTCCTAGTTAATCACCGTTTTCAGTATCAGCATTTGTCAGCTGACAGCAAACCCGATCCAGACCCTCTTAGTTGAAGTATAGTACGAGTGCGTTTACTATTATTTATGTTTTAGGGTAAACATTAGGTTTAATAACTGATAGTTTGTGTGATGATTTACATATGTAATTTTATTCAGCAATCAGCATAACTAACATGATGAAGTTAAGGAAGTTCTATGACTTCCTAGCTTACTGAAATCAAGATTTATTCTGTTGAATTTTGTAATTCCAAATTGTGATTCCGAAAATTGTTCAATAAAACTGATCTCCTTGTTCACCGTTGTCATGTCCCGACTTCCCTCTCAAAAGCCAGTGTAACTTTAGCTTTTTAAAGATACCTTTAAAACAGAGCAATGATGGAGAGAGGGAGTGGCTACACGTGCGAATGTCAATAATACTAGTGAAAAAAGTCTGCGCCCGTTGTATGTCTGTATGCCAATTAGTCAAAAACAAAAATGTATGTGTTTCAAATTGCCTAAGTTTTTGAAACTAAAGGCTTAAATTCATCACGTGATGCCACAGTTCGGGAATGGAACCTAAGACCCCAGAGGTGAGAGGCAAGTGCACTACCCCTACACCACCCTTGATTCACTAATGTATGTGATGTTGAGTCCAGGAATCAAACCTGAGACCCCAGAGGTGAGAAGAGTGTGCACCACCACTACAACACCCTTGATTCCCTAATCAAGACAAGAAAAATATGAAAAACGAGTTTGCAGACTAAGATTTAATAGAAATACCCACACCCTGACCTAAAACGTCAAAGAAACCTCATTAATTATCTTTAAAATGTCTCCCATGATAAACTTGCCAGCTGATCTGAGAGAAAATGTTAGCCAATCAGGATCGGGAAAATTTGCAGTGTCACTTTTCCTCTAGAAATTTCCAAGCATCCAAATGAAAGAAAATAGCATTGCTAATGAGCCGAGTAACACAATAACTAATGAGTTTTGTATTTTTATTGCAATGGTGGACGGTTTTTTATTTTTCGCTGTTAATTTTTACAGCTTTGCAGTGACGTCATATCTACGTCACTATTTCAGATCAGCTGGTGTTTTTTAATGCTTCAGTCTAATGATAAATACGAGACTTCTTTTCATTGGTTTTCTTCTTTTCAATCGTGAATCCAAGGATTCCTTCTACACGTTTAATCGCTTTTAGGATTTCTTTCAATGTTGCGGGGGGCACTTTTTCCCTTTGGCCATTCGCGGTCAGATCTTTAATCCTGATCCGTTTTTCGTTCATTTTTCCTTCCCCTTTCACAAATTCCAGCTTTTCTGGTTCCAATTCCAATTCTATGTCATAGCTTCCCGAGATAGTCGATCCTGATTGGTCAGAACTGCTATCGACGTCATCATCAGTGCTGGTGTCATCATCTACGCCACCAGACTCTTCCAGCTTTTTCTTTATTTGCAGTTTGTCACCTTCCCTTTGGCTTCCGTCTTTTTTTCTCGTTTTCACTGCTGTGGCTACGGAAACACCGTTTGTTCCCAATCGGGCCTCTGCGTTTTTGACTACCTCATTTGTGTCGCCTGGCAACCGATGTTTCCATGGTAACACCAGCTTTGGCATGTTTTTTCGTCCAACCTGCGAAAAGACTTTGGTTCCGTGAGCAACATTGTGTGGCTTTTTATTTGATGAATTCCTGAATAACTTTTCTACTTTGGCTGCTTTTAGAGCTTCGCGATTATTTGCATGGTTTTTGTCAGCTCGTTTTCTGTTCTCCTCCTCAATTTTGTAGCTCTCTTTTCCAAGTTTCGATTTTTCTCCCTTGAATAACCTTGTCTTACCTCTGTCTTTTTGTTTGTCATCAGATTTCATTCTTAATCGCACATTCTGGACTATGTTTCCTTCTTTTTCTTCCTTTGTGATGGTTTTCTTGTTGCCAGAAGAAGAATCGTAGTTGCTATGGTTACCTCTCTGCTTATCAACCACAAACCTCAGGGTGCTGTGTTCACGACTTACATTCGCTAACGTCTGGTTGCCATAGTTACGTTCTGTCTTCGTGGCACTATGGTTGCCATAACGACGTTGCTCTTGCGTGACATTTTTCTTCTGAAGTCTTTCGATCTTGAAGAATTTGTTGCCCAGTACTTTTTCAAAATTTTGCAAGATATCACTCATTTCTTTCTCATTCTGCTTGTTCTTGTCGTTAAAACTCTGTTTTCCTTGCTTCTTAAGACTTTCGTTGTCCATTTGCTTGGGGAGAATTGCGTTACTTGACTTACCAAAAGATCTTGAGGTCTTGGCAGAGTTCCAGATTTTGTTTGCAAATTTTCGCGCCATTTCTGACGCGGCTTGCGCTCTTTTTGCCGCATAACTCGCCTGCAGCGCCGCCCTCTCGGCTTCCTCCCGCGCTTTTTTAACTCCAGAGTCATTCTTTGCCTCAAGCACAGTATTTTGCGTTTCATTATCTTTATCTTCTAAATCGTAATTTCCATTTACAAAATCTTTTACGCTTGTGACGACACTTGCAACATCATTCAGCACCATTTTGGCTTCTCTCACGACTTTCTTGGCGTGTGTTATTATGTCTTTCAATGCTTTACTCGTTCTCTCGTCTCTCAAACTAAAATGTCCAAGACTCTCAACAGCAAGCCTGACCTTTTCAAACGACAAATCCTTAAAGTCATCTTCGCTTTCGTTATTCTTCTTTTGAGCCACATCTGATCTTCTTTCTTGTTCAGGTTGTTCGCTCTCTTTCTTCGGAACTTGATTTACTTGCTCCTCGTGAGAGACAGCCTCTTCGTTTTCAGCGTAACCGGATCCAGATATGTCTATCGTTTCATCAAGATCTTTGTTTCCTGAACCTTCGTAAATTCCAGAGCCTGATTCACTAGAATCACTTACTTTCTTATCCTTGATATTCTGGCTGCTCCCTGATACTTCCTCTTCGTCTAGAGCCTCGCCCGAACTCTCAAACCCACTTCCTTGGTATGTGTCTAATTTCACCACCATTTCGTTCTTCTTTGAACCGGTTTTAACTCCTTTTGGAAGTGTAAGCGTTGTTTTATACGCCGGCCATTGTCCTTTGACGCTAAATTTGGGATTCTTAGTAATAACATTAGCTAGTATAGGCGAGTTCATAGCAAAGAGCATTTCTGCGTTGTCGTTGTCAACTTCCCAATCAGTAGGCGACGAAGACTTAGCTTTTGCCTCGGGCAGCTTGTATTGTAAGTTGGTACCGACCGCTGTAGCTTCCACTTTGATTCCATAGCTTTTATCTCCTCCGCGAAATCCTTTCTTCTGGCCTTGGGTAGAAACTTCGGATATAAGACAAACTAAAGCAATGGCGAAAAAATGACTCAAGCGAACACTAAAATGGCCCATTGTATCAATTCCTTTTCATCAATTTACAATGAAATCTTCGATGATCAAATCAAACGTCAGATTGATACCAGCTTTAAACAATCAAAGCAGTGTTCTAATTATTTATATCAAGACACAATCACAAAGTATAGTTCCCTTATTAGAGAATTTTTATGCATCGCTTGGTAAAGATTTGTAGTTTGGTTGGCCAAGACATGGGGCGTCATGGTCAAACAGGTTGACCAGCAGAGGTCAGGCGAGACACCAGATCGTTTTGTCACTAGCTTTGACATTGAGAAGTGGAAATTTGACGAGTAGTTGATTTTAATACATACAACAACTGGTTTTTCTTACGAGAATAATTTTATCTATTAATTATACTGGTCCCATAATATTTAATATTGAAAAAATATATTTGAAAAGTTTAGGCTTGGAAATATTAAAAAACATAAGTATGACTGAAAAAAGAAAACGCTGCGAAAATTTAGCCAACTATAACTGTAAAGAAAATTTCGTGTAACCCAACCTATATATACTAAGTCTTTTAAGAAAAATAAAAACATTTCCCATGTTTATTTATATTATTCTTCGCGTATATGTATTATTGCGAATACTAGTTTTAAAAAAATATTTCGATCAAGTGCATACCTTAAGATCAAACCTTTTTATACGATATAACCTACTGTTCTTCCTATTTAGACTGTATGCTCTCTGTCTATTAATGCCGAGGTATTTAGCGTATCCCGCCATACAACATAATGGGTTACCATCCACCCATTCTCTAGATTTCATTATTTCCAGTTCTCCGTGAACCGCGAGGAACCTGGTCTGAAACTCTTGCTCTCAAAAATCGATATCCATTCTAATCCACTACCAAATTTTTTCTTTCGCATGCGTTGGAGTCATTGAGTGTTTGACACAGTTTTTCTCGTGGGTTATTCACCCTGGAAATGTGCAACGGTGGTAAAATACGTGCTGGGTTTCTGTGTTCTGGTGCCCAGATGCCATAAGCTAATTTTCGTCCTTTTATTCCAACAAGAGGACCTGCATCTTGTACATTTTCAACATCTTCAGTAGCTTTTTCTAGAGAATTTGATTCAGGTTTTTCGTCATCCAAACTGTGACGCGTTTCAACAAAAAGGCTACTCGATGTATAGTCTTTTGACAAAAAAGACTTGATTTTGTTGCATTCTACGTATTCATGACTGAATGAACAATTCAACCCGCGCTTTGAGCCCAACATCGATCTTACTTGATCGTCGTTTTTGAGCTGGTTGGTTCCTATACGCCAATTACGACATTTAACAGCAAAGTTAAAAAAAAAATTTAACAGCAAAGTTCAAAGAATAAGAATACCTGAACTTCTCTTGTATCTGAAGAATGAAAATTAATTCTTTATGTATACAAGAACAACAATACAAAAGCAGAATAAATAGCAGTTGCCAAGTACTTGTTATTTCCTGTTTTGGTTATTAATTGGGAAGTCAAATTTACTCTTGGATACTGAAGTTATTTGAGAAAAGAGATGAGAGTATGTGGACCGCGTAGCACTTAKGAAATACATGAAGATATAGAAATATAGATAAGTTATAGTGCTTGGGAACGATTAAAAAAAAATTACCCATCCCAATTTTTTATTATCGATGTGTCTACTTCAACTCTTCTCAAACTAATTTCGTAAGCCTTCCAAATGATGATCTTTTGGCAAAATCAAATAAATAAAAATGAGATTTCAAATTCTGTCATAAGAAGAAGAAAACGAAAAGAAAAGAATAAAATAGAATAGAATGATTACCCAGAATGCGTTAGAAGTAACGTTCTCTTCCCAGTCTCTCTCATTTCATCAAATCCCATGAACCTCTCCGGTCCGCACGTGAAGAAGGTCGCCATTTTGTTGCCGGTACAGTAAGTTTGGCGGAAAAAATATCAGTCCAATGCTATCCAGGTTGCGTTTGGCTGGACGAGTTGGTAAGTTAAGGCATTTCAAATACTAAAGAGCCAATTGCTCTCCTGAAATCGTGATAAAAAAGAAGCTGTCATGGCTTTTTTCTTCGTTATTTATCCCACGATTGCAAAGCTTGTGTACAAATATTATACTTTTCCGACTTTTTTACGGGTCGATTCGATTATAAAAAGCTTAAAATCTCTTCATAAACTATAAAACATGAACCGTAGACTATTGCAGTATTTACAAAATGGTCAAGTCCCTCTTCAGTGCGTACTTCTGTCAAAACATGATTTATTTACTGTAGACTGACTTGTATTTCAAAGCTTACGAGAATCGTAAAGTATTTTTGCACCATTTAAACCTTTTAAACTAAAACGGATGTTAATTATTTCGGTAATAATTTTTTTTCTTTTTTTCGAAAAGCTCCAGGTGTCTCAAGGCTGCTGCAATGTGCAAAGCCAAGGTAGAGTATTCAATCTTATATTTTTAAAGTTGCATGTTTGAGGTCTATGTTTGTTATAAGTTCAGCAGACATGAAGGGTAACATGTGTGAAATCTTGTAGTAGGGTAATGTGCACAAAGCATAAATAAATCCCTTTATGTCTACAAGCCTTAATTTAAATCAGTTTCAAGGCTAAACATAATGGCCGGTCAATGGACAATGTCCAGCCCAATGCCTCTTAGACTGAACTTCTTCTCTGGTGGTCACCTGTGTTAAGGCCAGTTTAGATGGTACGTAGCACCGGTGGCATGCACTGCTAATGCGCCGCCTCTCACCAATGCGGCCCGAGTTCGAGTCCTGCCGATCTCGATGTCGTATATGAGTAGAGTTGTTTGTTGGTTCTCTCCTGTGCTTTAAGGGTTTTTATCCCGGTTCTCCGGTTTTCCTCCCTCCTCAAAAATCAACTTCTAAATTCTAATTCGATCTTTGGGCTTTCACTTAGTTTGGAGCCTAGCTCTGTTGTGATTGTCCCACGCTGTGATACAACAGCGAAAAGCTTTGTAGATTTTTTAGATTTTTAGATTTTCACCTATGACTATCATGTACAACACGCTTGCGCCATTCTACAACTTGAGTAGCAGCGTGTCAATCAAGCCTACAACTCGACTACGACAGACGTGAGCGTGTTGTATACCATAGTTGTAGGCGAAAATCGTACTGTCTAAACCAGCCTTTATAAAGCACACAGGGGCTGGTAGAACATGAGAGAAGTGTTAGGAAAAGCACGGCACATAACAGAGTGCTTCTCAACACTTCGCAAGGTTCTTTCAATCCCCAAGTGCTTTAGACTGCACACAACATAGCAAGCAAGTTTTTTATTTCTTTTATAAAATACAAATTACAATAACCCTTATTTTAGATAAGAATGACTGAAAGTGCACACACATGCTGTGTGCTCTCATAAAGCACATGTCACAACCAATCAGAATGCAAGATTTATAACAGTTATTTTATAATTTTTTATAGTGCTCCAGCATTAACTAGATTATGTCAGACGAAAGTCCAAGAGAGTAAAGGTATTGATTTTTAAGAACAACTTAATTCATGCATGAATGGATGAGAATATATGGACCGCGTAGCACTTATGAATGCATGAATGCTTACAGATGAATTCCAGATTTTAGGTTGTACTTGCTCATAATGCTAGAATTTTAAAACTAAAGCTTAACTATTTCTGTTTTTGTTTCAATTAGATGAAACTCCAGAATTTGGTCAGTTTTTGAGAGATGTTAGTGCCAAGATCAAGGAAAAAACGGGTGAAACTGGTAAGACTAAAATAAAGTACTGTAGTAATCATCATCATTCACAACAACAATCATACTTAATATAATCAAAATGGGATATCAAAAGGATAAAATGGAATCAAGGGTGGCAGAACCATAGCACACTTGTCTCTGACCTCTGAAGTTTCTGGTTTGATTCCTGGAGTCCTCATCTCACTTGAGTACAGCTTGCTAGGTCTCTCCCTTGATTCAGCTTCCTCCTTCCATGAAACCGAATGAGCTAAATTACTTTTTGATGTGTGTTTGTTAGCCATGCTCTAACAATGATCAGCCTGGATGTTGTTTCAGGGTTTGATCTGTAAGTTAGCTTTGCCATGACTTAGATCAACACAGAGGTTGTTCCAGGGTTCCATCTGTGAGTTGGCCATGCCCTGACTTAGATCAGCCCAGAGGTTGTTTCAGGGTTCTATCTGTGAGTTAGCCTTGCCCTGACTTAGATCAGCCCAGAGGTTGTTTCAGGGTATTGATAAGATTTAAAAACAGCAACTTAATTTGATGCATGATTGTGTTGTATTTTAGGACACCTTCTTCTGTTTGGTGGCCTTGGTGCTTATGCTTTGTCTAAGGAAATACTGTGTATTCATGAAGAGGTACTGTGTATTAGTGTTCTACTTCCAATACTATATACAATACTCCAGTTTCAAGTTCTCTGTTGCTCAGGGCTAGCCAGGATTTTATAAACTAATTACGATTTTGAGACGACAATACCACGAAATATTGACAGCTAGTTGGGAGAAAATGTTGCATTTAGCTTTGTTTCATGATTCWAAAGAATTTAACACACGAAAAAGAAAAATTTGTGCACCATCAATTAATACATTATTTATAAATTTTAAATTATTTAATGCCAAGTGATTGTGTTTCTTATTTTCCAGACCTACCTTGCAGCAGTAATGGCAGGTACTTTTATTTGGGTTATAAAGAAGACAGGAAAACCAGTGGCAGAAGCATTGGACAACTATTCTAAGGTTAGATGAAAAGTACATCTTATACGTTTTGGGAATCGGTGGTTGTGGTGCAGAGGTAGCTCACCATATATTACCTCTGGGGTCTCAGTTTCATTTCCTGGACTCAGCATCACATGCCAGCAAAGTTTTTTGATGTTCCCTTTTAGTCGAAGGTGTTCCCCCTGGTGTTCCTTCTCTGCAAAACCAGACACCATCTTAAATAAGAACATAGAATTTCAGGAAAATCTGATGACACTATGGTAGACACAGACTCAAGCAAGGGGGAGGGGGGATGTATGAGAAAATGATAAATAAAAATAAATAGATAATTTAATAGTTTAGCTAGCCATACCCCACCTTTGATTAGCTCAAAAGTTGTTTGAGGGTTTGATAATTCTGATCTTTGATTTGGTATTTGCAGGCATCCCAGCCACTTTTTAGACAAATTTGATAGGAAATATAGGCTGTGCAAGTTCTAAACATAGGAAAATATAGAATTTTTTCACGAATATATATGCACTTTATAGGAGCTAAAATAGCTTTTCAGTGGCATAACCAGGGATCTTGCAGGGAGGGTGCACTGGTAATGATTTGCAGAACCAAAAAGCCATCAAAAAAACAGAACCAAAAAAGGAGCACCATTTTATTACCTTCACCAAATACCAAATATGCTAAACAGAGTAAAATATAAATATATCACTCAGTGGTCGTACTATTTATAGGAAATATAGGAAGTTTTCTTTAAATATAGGCTCTTTATAGGATCCTATACAAATTATAGGAAATATAGGATATATAGGAGGTCTGGGATGCCTGTATTTGTTTGTCGCATACCATGGATGACTTCGAAGGTTTCTAAAGGAGTATGTCTCCATTAACTTATGTATTTTTCTTTTTTATCCAGGAAATTTTGGATTCCTTTAATGTATCTCGTAACCAACAAGTAGATTCCTTGCAGACAGCCATTGAGAATGAAAAGAAATTGGATGAAATGTTATTGTGTCGTATAGACATTGCTGAGATCTTAAAGGTAACACATTATTTAACAAATAGTTAATGGGATGGTTGTACACAAAGTTGAGATTTCATTGTATATATTTAGGAGTCTCGAAAGCACATTTTTCTTATCTTTTGAATTATAAAATAATTTTCTTATTTGACGTTCATTCAATTTTTAAGGGTTTCACTTGATTATCATTTTGCAAATAAAGTTATATATTTATTTATTTATTTAACTTTACCACTCTGAGATGGACAAAAAGCCTTACAGGTCTTGTACCCAATTACAAGGCAACCAATAGATTGAATTAGAACTTGTTTTTTGTGGAGGGAGGAAAACTGGAGAACCCGGGAAAAAACCCTCAAAGCACAGAGCCAAAATTATGAAAATTCTGTTCCTGTTTTAGGAAAACAATGTGATGAGTATGGAGTTGGAGTACAGAAACAGGCTTCACTCAGTTCACAAAGAAGTTAAGAAGCGTCTTGTAAGTAATCTCTCATTTGATTCCTCTTTATTGATGACTCTTAAAACTCCAGTGTATGCAGACTTCCAGTAGTCTCATATCAAAGGTTAGGTAAACAAATTAAGCAGAAATTAGAATAACAAAACAAGCAACTCAACAGCAGATCAACGTTTGGAAAAAGAACCTTCGCTTTGGCTGCACTGGCACTGTGGAACAATCTCCCTGATGCAATTAAGTACTCAAGTTCAGTACCAGAGTTTACATCTGCACTAAAACATTACCTGTTCACCAGGAGTAACTGACTTTTTTCGCAAGTTTTTCCACAAACTTGATATCCGTCTGGTCCTTTTGTAAAAAGCATCGAGATGTTGTATGATGCGTTTGTTAAGAACCTATATTATTATTATTATTAACTCCTGGAGTCACGGCTAAGCCTGCATACACTGGAGTTTTAAGAGTGGTCAACACAACAATATTACTTGGAGTGTCTGATTGTTGGTTCATAATCTTACTGCAGTTTTCCATATTATACAAACTCAGACATTTCAATGGCTTGAAATTGGGTTTTTTTGCCTCCATTGATGACAGCGAAAAACCAAATTTCTGTGTGAAGCTTGCGAAAATTGAGTTGCAGAGTATTGAAAACCGCAGACAATAAAAATTATTTTAATGCTGTCGTAACAGGATTACCAACTCGAGATAGAACAATTTAAGCGCAAGGTTGAACAGGACCACATTATAGACTGGGTTGAGAAAGAGGTTATTAAAAGCATATCACCACAACAGGTAAATAATGTGACAAATATCTCTTGACTTTTTGTATTGGTAAAGATAATTGTTCAAAAGGTTTTCTGCTTAAAGTGCCTATACCACATAACTCAATATTTTCAGTATTGATTCTACATAAAGTTAATATTTCAATGGTAAAAAAATTCATATGATTTGAGTGATGCATCTTGAAGATATCAAGGTTTATACTTCCAATATGTTAATGAGCGTGATGTCATAGGGATTTGAGTTTGCTTCTCATTGATTTTAAATCGCAACACTGATTACTATGAGAAAACAAATTTGCTATTAATTTTCTATAAACCCTGAGTAAGACAACGATGTTATATACAGGATATTTTGCTGCCCTAGAAAAGTTTTGTATATTTAATCATGCCTCCTTTGACCTCACATCATTACCATCTTGATATCTCCAAGATGCATCACTCGAATCATATGAAATTCTTTTACCATTCAACTATTCACTTCATGTGGCATAGACACTTTAAAAAGATATCACTTTTGTTAAGGGAATCTCAGTGTAGTGATGCCCATAATAATTGGACCATGAAAAACATATTCTGTACCCCTCCTTGGAAAGACACCCTGACTGGATTCATATCAATATTAAATAGCATATATCTAATATCTTCCATAGCATTCAAATGAAGTCCCTGATTCTCTGTCCATCTTTACCATATCCCTCTATGAGATTACCTTAGATTATTGTCCTATTGCGCAACACCTGCCTTTGGGCAAAATCTCAAATGCCGTCATTAAAAAAATTGAATTGAAATGTCCCAGTGTTACTCAATGGTGATCTCCTTCATTTTTTTAGGAGAAAGAAAGCATCTCCCAGTGTATCAAAGATCTTAAAGCCATTGCTGGTTCTGTTTAGAAAACTGAATGTTGTCTGCTCAATTGTTTTCATCGTTTGTAATCTTGAGACATAATCTTGCAGTGTTTGGCTGTTTGTGAGAGAATAAAAGGGTTTTAAATACTTAAAGCTGGTTTTGATTTAGTGAGGATTTACCTTGTCTGGTATTCTACATGTAGATAGGAAGGCAGTGTTTGTACAGCATTGGTCAAAGTTTTGACAAGGTTGAGCTTGCGATTTTTTTCTTTTTTTAATTTAATGTTTTACAGTTTCTCCTTTTCAGTGAGATAGCACTACTCAAAGTTTTTAAAAAATCATTCTTAACCTTGCTATTTTTTTCTGTTTTTAATTTAATGTTTTTTTTTTACATACAAGGCAAACATATGTTCTACAAAAACACTTTAATTTATCTTTACTTAACACACAACCACAATTTCACTTACAGTATTACTATATGTAAGACAAGGTATTTTATTATTAATTGTATCATCACTCTATAATCCCATATAAGCAACTATTGTATTATTTTCAAATTCTCTTTCCTGTCCAAATTGAAGATGAATTTGGATCCTTTCCATTCGCATTCTTTCAAGAAAAAACTATGACTTATAGAATCAGTCTAGTATAGTTTGGGATGATATAATTAATCTGCAATAGGACTACATGTCTATCCAATTTTGAAATACTTGAATTCAAAAAATTCTTCTGACTGCTAAATTAGACTCGGCCTATTGGCCTCTTCCAATTTTGTCAGTCCTCAGAATTTTTTTCATCCAATTATTTGCAAATTGGATAGCATGTAGTCCACTAATAACATGATAATGCACAACGACACTTTCACTTACAGTAATATTATCTAAGACAAGCTATTTTATCATTAACAATTTAATAAGCAATTTGTCCTTTCAAAGTTGAAAGGACATCTGGTAATGACCACATAAGATAACGTGACTCAATTGTGGATGACGAAAAAGCTCTGCCATCTTGCATTCAACTAATCTCAATAAATTTGGCCCCAAAATCCTGTGTACCACAAGGATGGATGCAGATACATTTATACCTACAAACTCTCAATCTGTGTCTTGGAACCACATACCTGGTCAAACTTACTTAGGGCTTCTCTGCACCAGGAGGAGCATAACTTTTGGGGAAAATTTAAAAATTTAGATTAGGGACTGACTCACTTATTATGATATAATGGTACACGTAACAATATTTTCCAGAAAATTTATAATTTAGATTAGGGACCATTCATCATTTTATAGATAAGTGGGGCAGATGAGATATTGGATGAACTTGTTTTTGAACCGTTTTTTCTCAAGTCCACTTTGCTGAAGTATTCATGGCCCCATTTTCACATTTTTCAAAATTAATTGGTAAATTCCAAACTAACTCCTACAATAAAGGGAACCCTTAATATGTCAACAGCAAAAGTTACTGAAGTCCCTTAACAAATAAAAGTAGTTAATCTTGGGGAGCATCTATCACCTCAATAAGTCTGGACTGAACAGGCAAGCTTTCTTCACTATCACTCTCCTTTATGACAATAGAATTTTGTAATGCTTTGACATTTTCATCTGTGAGGTTACCACTATGGTATATCACAACCCATGTTTCACCTTCCTTGATGTATTCTCCTACTCTGACATTAAATACCATTCCTACACCATGATCTATCTTATCAGTGCTCTTCTGCCGTCCTGCACCCAAACTACCACACAGGGTTGCACACTCTAAGGCATCAATATCCTTGATAATGCCTGACTTCTGTGCTTTAACCTCATATGACTTGGTTGCGAGAGGGATATACTTGTAAGGGTTGGTGTCAGGGTTGCACAGTGCATCAGCAATTTCTTGACTAACTCCTTGTGCTACCAACATTTCTGAGAATTTTTTGATGGCCATTCCATTACTGAGAGTTAGTTTGATGGATTCCATTCCTTCTTCAGGGGTATGAGCTTTTCCAAGGGAGTTTAGTAGATGACCTCCTATTGTATCATCAAAACAAATTAATCAAATAAGATGCCAAAATGTTGCATGTCATCCGTCGTTATTTAAATCTTTTATTCAACTCTTAACCCTCCGATGTCCGAGGATGATGTTTATCTTCCCACCCCACCCCACCCCTCAATGCTCACTGCAACACACAAGATTCCAATTAAGTCTTTGAAATAGCCATGCAACCTGACTTAGAACAGCCCAGAGGTTGTTTCTTGGTTCAATCTGTTTGTTAACCCCGGGAAGGGGGGTACTCCCTATATTCGCTATACGGGTACATGCCGCCAAACAGGGTATGGTTTTCAGTGATTCTACTCTAGAACAGGGTATATAAAATCAAGCTCGCTCTGGAACAGGGTATCTATTTTCGCAATAGTGGAACAGGGTATGGTTTTCAGCGATCTTGCTCTGGAACAGGGTATGAATTTCAACGATTTTACTCTGGAACAGGGTCAGGGTTCAGAGGGCTCAGTGGCACATCCCTACCCTAAACGGGCAAGAGTACCCCCCCTCGGGTTTTAACTGTGCCCTTACTTAGTTCAGCTCAGAGGTTACCTATCTATCTACCTAGAAGACAGACCAGCTCCTTCAGATCGTCCGGGCCTTGCCCATGAAGACACTGTATAGCCTCAGCCACTTCAACAGAGTTCCCCACAGTCTTTCCTATAGGGTGGTCCATACTGGTCACCAGTGCCTTACATCTCGTACCCATTTTTTCGCAAGTGTTTACTAAGGTTCTTGCCAAAACACTTGCACGTTCCTTTGTTTTAGCAAAGGCAGCACGTCCACACTTGACATCAAGCACCAAAGATGTCAGAGATTCTGGATTTTGAATGAAAAAAATTCAAATTATCCCATGTCATGAAAAAACTCAGCCTTTTACTCAGCAACCTAGTTAACGTTGTAACAGCTGAACTAGAATATCCTCCAATACCTTTAGTAATTACTTTGATTTACTGAGTCTGAGAAAAGTTTGTGAAGTCTCACTTGTTTTGAGGGTTTTTCTCTCAGTTTTCCAAATATTATTTTTTCTCCCTAGAAACTCAAAATCAAACTCACTAAATTCCAATTCGATCTGTGAGTAAGCTTTATGTGTCATGTGCCAAACACTACATTCAACTTTTCTGAGACTTGTTTCATAAAGCTCCATCTTTTATTACATAACTTAGAAAACTTGTTTGTTCTTAGGATTAAAACAAAACTTACCTGCAACTTTCTTTGATATAATTGAACTTGCAATAAGAGGGTCTGAATCCACTGTCCCCGTCACGTCACGAACAGCATACAATACTCTATCAGCTGGTACTAGGGACTTGTTCTGTCCAACAATGCAACAGCCTACATTTTTTAAGACATCTTTCATTTCTTCTGGGGTAAGACTGACTCTAAAACCTGGAATTGATTCCAGCTTGTCTAGTGTTCCACCTTGGAGTATGAAAAAACTGTGTGTTATCATTTTCTATCATTTGTATACAGTGAAACCCCTCTATACCGGACCCTCAGTATACCGGAATTCTCTCTAAACTGGACAAAAGTTTTGGTCCGGAATTTTTCCCATATATCTTTTGTAAAATAAACCTCAGTAAACAGGAACCTCTCTATTTCGGAAACCGGACGATAATTTCGGTACCAAACGCTATTTGACAATAGAATTCAACCCCGCTAGTCCGGATGACGTACCGTTGTTTCGGAACTACCGTCACTAGCTTATTTTAATGTTTGCGGGTGTATAAATTGAGTCTACAGCGACAAACTTCTAAACTCACAAAATCATCGAAAATTTTCCTTAAATAGTAAATCTTGTTCACAAATAGACATATAAAGACTAAATAATTGTTTTCAATGTATAAATGTTCAAACAGAATGCATAAAAGAAGGTTTATTAATAGTGTTGAGAAATACTAAAGATCGAATGGTTCGCGAAGTTGCGGCCGCCATGTTTTTTCATGTCAAATGGTTTTGGAGTCATTGCCAGTCCATTTTACCGGGGATTTTGTTCAGATCGTATCTAGAATGCTTCTTCTTGGCGTTCTTTTGAAAAAACAAATTTGGAAAAAAAAAGAAATTTGCTTGGTTTTTGATCTTATTGTTGATATTTTTACTTGAACTTTCCGTTTACGTGTTTGTTTATACTGACGCCAAACGATTAGACACAAACATATTTTCAATAGGTGTGATATCGCACCTATTCAAATCGAAAATAAAAGTAATTTGCAAAAACCTCAGTATACCGGAACCCCCGCTAAACCGGAAATTTTTATCGGTCCCCGCACTGTCCGGTATAGAGGGGTTTTACTGTATTTGCAAAGTGTAGGTTTTTTATAAGGAAGGGTGCTGAAAATTCAAACATGATATGAAATCAAAAATCAAATCATGCCATATAATAGCGGAGCTGCCCGCGCGAGCCAAGGGAGCACATTAAAATTTTGTTTATGTAAAGAAAGCAAGAGAATATGAAGTACTTAATATTCTCTTGAAAGAAAGTTATTACTCGGGCTACCTGTAAGGTAGGCCGAGTTTAGGTTTCGGTTTTGTATCAGTCTATCGTATGGTCGAGGTTTTACATGATGAATATGTATGCGATCGAGACAGTCATGAAAGCGAGGCGACGCACGAGTGCAAGTCATGTGACCTACATGTTGGGTAGGAGGTTTTCTTGCTCTCTGCTCCTCGTCGGTGGTTTGTTATGGCGAATTCCTTTTCTTCTGGGACACTCAAAATACACACAAACGCACACGCCGTTCGCGGTAGACCCACACTAAAAGATGTCGAGCGTTTTCGGAACCATAAAGTCTGTCTGCGCGGGCGTGGGACTCGGGGTGGCGGGGGGCATGTCTCGTGTATGATCTAGGCTATTCTATATACTCTATATTTTATTTTTTATTTTTTATTATTTATCTATTTAATTAATTTTCCCATAGTTAGCGTGATAACTTAATGTATAGTTCCTGCTGACAATAAAATGTAGATGTAGATGTAGATGTAGATGTAGATGAACGGGTCGGTCCGCGAACTCAAAGCAAAATGCCAAAAGAATGCCAAAGATACCAGAAAGATTACCAGAAATGTGAACTCAAGTGAAACTCAAATGAACTCAAATGGACAAACGTACAAACTTACTCAAACGTACTTAAACGAACAAACAATCACTAACTCTTTAGTAAGCAGGAACTTCATTGA